TCGTATCTGACCAGTTTAGGGACCGTACGGCCACCTATTCCGTGCCAGTGTACTGATTCGGGGAATCCAAAGTCTTTCGCCGTGCGGTCGTCCCGACCTTGGTCGAGGTAAGATTGGAGCCTGTGTACAAAAGAATGCCCAATGACAAGAACAGCCATGCTACTATAATTCGCAAAATCAATAACTCAAATAAAGAAAAAACTTACTTGTAGCAAATTGGAGTTCTGTTCGTGGGAAAGCCGGAGATGCGTCGATCTATCAGCAGGTTCGCCAAAAGTCCCGACTTGAAATATCTGTGAATCCGTAACTGTTAATACAGTTTAAATTGAAGATGGCGAACGTAAAATTATTCTGACAATTGCATACACTATAGAACCTTGTATAAAGCAGAGTGGGAAGGAATAGTAACGCTCATTTGGTTAAACGCTGAGGCGCGAACCTAAGTGAAACCCCCGTCCGTGATTGGACAGGGTGTCTGATCAAAAGATGCAGCGTTGAATCCGAGGCTTATGCAAATTTTTGGCAAGTTATGCCATAATAAACGTCCGTGATTGGACAGGGAGTCTGATCGCGATAGATGCAGCATTGAATCCGAGGCTAGAGCAAAAATGTTAACAACTTGTATAGCATTGAATCCGAGGCTACTTGCAAACTTGTGAAGAATCAGACCGTCGCCATAAATAAACGTTTGACTACGCCAAACTTCCCTTTTTGTCAGTCTTATCTTTAGGATGACAAAGAATCTGTTTGAGTATTCTTTGAGGTCTAAAGCAAACATTCGCTTTGTGTTTTGTATAAATTCGTTTCAGCTGTTCTGATCTCCCTTTCATGTATGGGATCACTATACTGGTTTTGGGCTTATCTTGTCTTCTCTCGTCATCCTCAGGTGTTGACTCCTTATCAGCTCCAACATTGTTCAGTACCTTCCTTAGAGCCCAGCTGGGATACTTACACCTCTTCAGGGCCTTATTCACATGGTAGAAATTGAAAAGTTTAATACTTGAATCATATCCTACTGTTTTGGGTTAGAAAGAACAGAACTCCTTTTACAGCATTGGGTGGGCGCTTTTTAAAATTTCCCACCTTTAATAATTATGTAGAGGATGTATTACGGACATCTCGCTGTGTACAGATTTCTCTTTCAGAACTTATCATGGAGCAGTTGGGCCCCTGGGCCCATGGTATGTCGGTACGCATTTCACAATCTGTTACGCTCCGCTCTTTTACTCCTTTTCATAAAATTGTTAGGGTGACTCCCGTTAACGCCCAACATAAATACATAATTATTAAACATAGCAAATAATTTTACTTTTCAAATATATTGAATTTATAAAAAGAGAGTCATGTCCTTCTCCTGTCCTTCTCAAGTAAAGTCAGTGTGTGCGTGTGATCTCAGTAGGTGTGGTCTTTTTTATTTATGCATTGCATGAGTGAGTGACCACATTTCACATTTGCTTGACTGAAGAGTTTTTGTCAATATTTTGTGGAATCCCAGAACACCTACAACTACACAGATGAATTTCCATCAGAAAAAAGGAAGCCATTGTTCATTTGATGAAAAATCTGTTTCATTTTCCCCAAGCATTTTATCTGCCTCAAGCACTCACTGACAGGAAGACAAACAAGTATGAATAGCAAGCAGGCCAAAAGACTGGCAAAGGCACCACACTGGAAAATGGAGTTAAAAAGCTCACAATGACAGATACGGACAGAACTGACGGCTGGACAGTAAGGCAGGCAGACAAACAAGTATAAATATCAAACAACACAAAAGACTGGCAAGGGCACCACAGTAGAGACAGTAGAAAATTAGAGAGAATTGACAAGTGAAAACGGCAAAAGAGACAAATAAAGAATATCAAAACATTAAAAGCAAGACCCATTAAATGAAAGCAACAAAAATGAACAAATTAACAGAAATATTAACTAATGAGTAAGTACTGTAAAAGAAAAATTGATGTTAATATCATAAGAATCTGCGAACATGTGATAATCACCTTCCAAGGGTTATGGAAACGGACGTATGTGAAGCCAAAACAAGGCTGAAACGTGGAAATGGCGAGCGTGCATTTTTTATGCACATGACTGTGAATTGATTTGTGAAATTCC